GCGGTTCTCCCTTGCGAGGCAACACTACAGCCGAAAAAATTAAGATAAAGGTGGAAAAGTTCAAATTTTCTTACGCAAGGGACATTTCATCTTTCAAAATAAATGTCCCTAACGAGCTCTTTAACACTATTTGCTCTCCCAACTTCTGGCCACAGTACATCGTTGTTAAGGAGTTCGAGGCGAAGAGAAAGAAAAAGCGGCCTGTAGGAATAACTCTTCCCAAGCCTGATGATACCACTGTGCCTTCTACGTCTTCCAATCCCTTCCCAATTAACTAACCTACTCCTTAGGTATTTCCTATCAGAATGCAAGAGGCTAACGTAGTAAGCTTCCTAACTTGTATTCTGATAGCCTTTCGTTTGCATCTCAGGTTATTGTGCTCACAGAAACCTGGTTAAAGCCGGAGATTCTGAGCTCCGAAGTTTTTCCAGCTGTGTTCACGGTATATCGGCTAGATCGCCCTATCAGATGCGGGGGTGGAGTTTCATAGCGGTGGACTCCTCACTCACGTCAGAATTATTAACCTTCGAGGAATGCAACGATGTTGAATTCCTCTGTGTGAAGCTATCTATCAAAGGTAGCTCCATTTTTATTACCTGTTCCTACATACCTCCACTGTCGGATCTTCCTATTTATTGGAATCACCTTTCCGCTATTCAGATGGTTTCGAGTAGACTTTTGGATAGAGACCAGTTGGTAGTTCTAGCAGATTTTAATATCCCTTGTGCTATTTGGTGCTCAAATAATTCCACCAATTCTCTCCATACACCTGCACAACATGACTTTATCGCTGGCTTGTTTGACATTTCGCTATCTCAAGTCAACCATGTGCGAAATTCCTTACAGCGCTTGCTTGATCTTTGCTTCGTCTCTGATCCTGCGAGAGTCAGTTTAGCAAAGGTAGCGCCTCTGACGCAGCCCGAAGATCCTTATCATCCAACTTTCGATGTGACTCTTGATATTGGGTGTGACGTACAAATATTTCTGACCGTCCAGCCAATAAAGTCCTATGTTTTCGCAAAACGGACTTTGAGCGGCTGAATAATTTTATAAACGAGTTCAATTGGTCCGATCTATACATGTGCACTGACATGGCAGTTGCCGTGGATATTCTTTACAGTGCCATGAATTCATTTTTTACTGAATGTGTTCCGTTATATTATCCGCCAAGCTCAAATAAACCGCCGTGGTTTACTAAAGAGTTGAGCCGACTTAAAAAAAAAAATCTAGACTGTATGTTAAATTTAAAATCACCGGTTCTCAATCTGCCCTTTCATCTTATTTATCAGCTCGGTCAATCTTTACCGTGCTGAACGCGCAGTGTTATACAAATTATTTAACTCGTTGTAGGGCCCAGTTCTCACAGGACCCAAAACAGTTTTATAATTTTGTTAACACTAAACGTAAGCCTAAAACAAATCCTTCCTCGCTGTCATTTGAAAATACTACCGCAAATAATGATCAGGCAATAGCTAATCTATTTTCGCAGTTTTTTCAAACAACCTATTCTAGCTCTTCGTATCTACACCAGACCTATTCCTACGACATACCCAAATTAAACTTAATTTTCTGTCCTAGCCTAAACGAAAGCTCTCTCCTTTTAGATCTTCATCGTGTCAAGCCAGTTTATTCGCCATGTCCCGACGGAATTCCTTGCTGTGTGCTCAGGTATTGTGCCGACGCCCTGTGCTATCCCCTTCTGAAATTGTTTACCTTGTCGTTGGAAACCTCCCACTTTCCCATTATTTGGAAGGAATCGTTTATTATTCCTCTCCACAAAAAAGGTAGCAAATTGGATACCAGCTAATGTAGAGGAATCTCTAAGTTGTCGGCCATCCCTAAATTATTTGAAAACATTATCACCCCTCACTTACAGCACCTTTGTAGATCGGTTATTTCTCCATGTCAACATGGTTTTATGAAGCGAAGATCAACAACAACAAATCTTTTGGAGCTCTCTTTCTATATTATAAAGGGCTTACATAATAATTGTCAGACAGATGTAATCTATACTGATTTCAGTAAAGCATTTGACTCTGTTAACCATTCCTCGTTAGAAAACTCGATTCAATGGGTTTTCCAAGTGATCTTCTTAATTGGATCTCAAGTTATTTGAATGGCAGGACGCAAAAGGTCCTCTTTAAGAATAATTTATCCAATGTTCTAAGGGTTATGATGTTGCCTGCCAGTCGGATTTACAAACAGATCTTAACAATTTTCAAGCTTGGTGCCGTGTAAACTTATTAAACTTGAATGGCTCGAAATGCAAGCTAATGACATTCTCTCGTGTCGTTCCTAAGCTTGCTACTTACACGCTGAACTGCTGCTCTTTGGAAAGACTTAATAATACTGTTGACGATTTGGGCATCCGTTTGGACCCAAAACTTGACTTTATTGATCATATTTCGTCTATGGTAAATAGACCCAGGGGTGTGCTTGGATTTATTAAACGGTGGTCGAAGGAATTCAATGACCCCTATGTTACTAAATCCTTATATACTTCCTTAGTTCGTCCTATCCTAGAATATGGATGCTGCGTTTGGAGCCCTCACGCGGTTTAAATTGGGATGCAAACCAAAGATTACCTTACTACTCTAGTAGACTCCTATTTATAAACTTGCCGTCCTTAGCCAATCGTAGAACGATGCTAGGGACAACCTTTATTTTTAACCTTATACTTGGTGAAGTGAAAAGTGCTGACTTGTTGAGTCAGCTTAATTTCCATGTACCATGTAGAACTACTAGATCCTATATCCCATTAGTGTTGCGCCACTGTAGAACCTCCTTTGAACTGCATGAACCTTTTAAAGTGATATGTGCAAATTATAATGATTTGTACACACTAATCTCTAACGTAGATACCCTTCCCAAATTAAAATCTTTAATACTAACACACTTAGTAAGCAGGCAAGCTAACAATCTGGCAGCACGCCGGTAGTCAATTTCCTCGTATTCTGTCCTGTATTTTCCATCGCGCCTACTAACACCTAACCCAAACGGGCACGTGCCTGGTGTCACACGGGCCACTTGAATGTACTGACCTTAGTGCATCAACGACCAAAAAGTACCAAATTCCTTTCCTGACCAATTCCTGGTGTCATGTTCTAAAAACAAAAACAAATCTCATGTGTTTCGGTAAGACAACTCCGAAACAAAGTAGGCAATAAAAATTCTACCTGTGTTCGGATACTGCCAAACAATTAATTGTTGTTTTCGAAGGGATTCGGAGCAGCGGTTCCGATATTATATTGAGATGATGAAAAATAATATTTAACGAAAAATAATAGATTTTTTCGCAGCTCTAATGACAGCTGAAGTATTCACAAATGTTTTGCAATGTAATTTATTAAATATTGTTAAAGGGTAAGTGACTTATTTGTATTCAGTTAATAAATTCATTTCCAGAATTGCTTTTGAACCTGGACTCTTTTTTAAGCTAGACGGTGTGAACGGAAGGCTATTATATATCCAGTATTTGTTTTTGTTCGCGCCACGAGGGCGCTTTATTTCGAGAAGCAGTGTGGGGGCACTAGTTTTCTCTCTCGCTGCTCCCGATCGTCGCTCGCTCCCTCTCGTCTCTTAGCCGAAGGCGACTCCGCGGTCCCAGCTGCCCTTGAGCGGGGCTTTAGTTTTAGTACAGCAAGAACTGCTTAATAAAGCAAACATATAGTGAAAACCGACGCCCATCTACTTGTCATTTTTTTCTGGGAGAAAAACAGCCACTGCAACACCAACAACAAACAGCATTTATCAGCCTGACCAGCGGCAGCCGACGAAATACTGAGCTGACGACAGCTACTCATTTTTGTTCACCATCCGCCCTCTCCTTGTGGGAGAGCTTGAACACTTGTTCACAAGTGTCCTTTTACATGCACCGACCTTAATTAAGTGCATCTTTATTACCCCATCCATTGACCGGTTGACAGCTAACCCCCATTAAAAACATTTGTATACCCTTGCAGGGTATTATAATTTCAGTCAGAAGTTTGCAACGCAGTGAAGGAGGCACCTCCGACCATATAAAGCATATATATTGATCAGCAAAAGCCGAGTCGATCTAGCCATGTCCGACTGTCCGTTTCTACGCAAACTAGTCTCTCAGTTTTGACGCTATCTGAGACTTTGTAGTTAGCCTTCTATATACTCCCACTCGTATATACGTCGGAACGGGCCAGATCGGACGACTATATCATATAGCTGCCATAGGAATGATCGAAAAATTTTTACAAAAAAAATTATAACATTTTCAGTTTTCAACAGAGTTTAATCAAATTTATTATATTACTTTATAATTTTGGGTAAAATTTTCTGAAAATCGGACAACTATATCATATAGCTCCCAAAGGAACGATAGAGAAATTAATACAATGAAAATTTTGACTTTTTCAGTTTTCAACAGATTTTCATGAAATTTGAGGTGTAGCCATTTTATATTAGTCTTAAATATAGTATCAAATTTCATAGAGGTGCCATACAAACGATCGTTTGATTTAGAGGAAAAATGCAAATCTGTGTATGTAAAACTGCAAATATAATATGTATAATATACTAGCGGCCCGTCCCGGCTTCGCACGGGTATTAAACATTACATTTAGATTTGTCAATTTTAACACATTCATAATAATAATAATAATATGACACATATTCATCCCTTTTTGCGTCGAGCTCCTAAAAAAGAGTAAATAAAAAAATGAGAATAATTAAATTCAGATTGTTTTGAGGAGGGCATTAATTTATGCCACCTATTAAGCGAATTGATTTAGCGAGGGGTTTGTTTTGTGTTGGCGTAAAATTAGTTATGTTTTAATTTGTGTGTGCTTGTGTGTGGTTTGGTTACAAAGTTTTGTGTGTTTTTAGTTTCAACGTAAGTGAGCGAATGAATCGAGAGAATAGATAAACCAAACAGAAGAGCTGCGGCGGAAGAGCTTTCATGCCGGCTTATGAGGTGGAAAGCTTCTGCCGCAGCTGATCGCTTGTTTACAAATAATGATTTAAAACATTTAATATTAAATCTGCTGCTTCTGCTCCCGACATGCTCCCCCCGCTGGATGCGGCACGCTGCCAGATGAGGTGGTTTCCAGGGGTAGAACAGCTATTTTGCCAACAGCCCTTTTTATTAGGCCAGTGGCTGTCCGAATGACAGCGACACGGGCCACACCGTCAGCTCCATGGAAAATGCTCTCCACTCTGCCAAGACGCCATTGAAGCGGAGGGATGTTGTCCTCCTTGAGCACCACAATGCTATGCGGTAGGATGTTGGGCCTTGATGCACGCCATTTCCCACGTTCTTGTAAAAGCGAGAGGTAGCTGGTACTCCACTTCCGCCAGATGATTTGCTGAATTTGGCAAACTCGTTGCCAGCGGCTCAGCCGATCGATGCTGAGGTGCGTGATGTCGGGCTCCTCGATTGTGGCGAAAGAAGACCCAATCAAAAAGTGACCAGGTGTAAGGACATCCAAATCGTTAGGGTTTTCTGAAATTGGACAGAGCGGTCGAGAGTTAAGCATCGCTGAAATTTCATAAACTAAAGTGCGAAGCTCATTGAATGAGAGAATAGTGTTGCCAACGACCCGATGAAAATGATATTTTGCAGATTTGACGGCAGCCTCCCATAGGCCGCCGAAATGAGGCGAACGAGGGGGAATAAATTGCCATTTGATCCCGATGGAAACGAAGGCCTGCTGAAGATCGCTGTTTTGAGGGTCGGCGAGAAACAGTTGCCTCAGTTCCAGCAGCTCGTTTTTGGCTCCAACGAAGTTTGTAGCGTTATCGGACCATATTGTGCCAGGCTTGCCCCTTAGGCTTATGAAGCGCTTGAGGGCAGCGATGAATGAAGCCGCAGACAAATCCTCCACCAGCTCCAAATGGCAGGCTTTAGTGGCGAAGCAAACAAATATTGCGATATAGCATTTGACGGGTGGCCGGTTTCTGACTTCAGACTTGGAGTAGAAAGGACCACAGAAATCGATTCCCACTGTGACAAATGGTCGACTTGGCTGCACGCGGTTGGATGGCAAGGGGGCCATGATGTGCTCAGCTAATTTGGGCTTTAATCGAAAGCAGCGAATGCATTTGTTGATAGTGGCGGCGACTATTTTTCGACCACCAATTGGCCAAAACCTTTGCCGTAAAGCCGCCAATAAGCTCTGCGGACCTGAGTGAAGAAATTTCAAATGATAGTGAGCTATGATTGCTGACGTGACTGGATGATCCTTGGGAAGCAAAATTGGGTGTTTTGCATCATAATCCAATAATGAATTCTGCAGCCGACCGCCAACTCGAATAAGTCCCGATTCATCGCAGATTGGATGCAGCGAGTACAGCTTGCTTTTTGAGGAAATCTGCCTTTCGGATTGCAGGGCCTTATACTCCTCAGCAAAGTTGATGAGCTGGATTCCCTTGATGAGCAGATGCGTGCCTCCCTTGATGTCGTCTACTGTAAGAGGTCCTCGCCGTCGTGGCTCATCCTTGGCTTTTAGCATTAGGAACCGATGTATGTAGCCAAAGACTCGCTGCAGCTTTCCAAAACAATTTTGAAACTTGCAGCCATACGAAATATCCTGGCTTTGCGTCAGCAACAGCGCGAGGCGGCGGCGTTCAGGCACATCTACTAGAGTCTGTCCGCAGGAATGGTGGGCCCTCACGCCACAGCGTCGAATCCAAAAGTTCGAGCGGAGTACATCCTCTGGATAATATGTCAGCCGGGTTGTAGTGGGTCGATATATGATGCCAAGCCATATCCTTGGTCCTTTCTTGAATCTGCGCGATTCTGTTGGAGACAAAAATGTTAAAGTCTGATGGGGCCTGGCGAATCCAAGAGAGCATAATTGTTGAGTCAGACCAACAATGATATGTGCAAGGCTGAGAAATGGCATTAGCGATGTTGTGGATGAGTTCGGATAGCAATAGAGCTGCGCATAATTCAAGTTTGGGTATGGTTATTGTTTTAAGCGGCGAGACTCTAGACTTGGAGCAAAGCAAATGTGATGAGTAGGTGCCCCCTGCTTCGGAGCGCACATAAATACAGGCACCATATGCCGCCAAGCTTGCATCACAAAATCCATGAATTTCCAAAGATGAGTCAGATTGCATGATGAAGCGAGGAAATTTTAAATGGCTGACTGCCGAGATTTGCGCGGAGTGTTCCAACCATAAGTCTCATCCCAGTCGAGCTTATCTTTCCACAGGATTTGCAGGAATATTTTGAGCCTGGTTATAATGGGCGCTATAAGGCCTAGGAGATCGTTGAATTTGGCTACGGCTGATAAAATAGACCGCTTGGTAGCTGGCTTGTCTGCTACATTTCCAGAAAATCCAAAAAGCAAATTATCGGAACTTGTATCCCAGTATAGGCCAAGTGTTTTGGCGACGTCAGTCCCATCACTGAATTTGAGCATTTTCTCGCGATCAGCCTCAAGTTCTCCTTCAAGCGCTGCCGGCTCATTGGAGCACCATTTACGAATTGGAAATAGGCCTTTTGCAAGTAACGATTTAACCTGCTGCCGGATATAAACGACCTCTTCGATCGAGTCGCCTCCAGAAATAAGGTCGTCAACATAAAAGTCCCTACGCACGATCTTGGCTGCCACAGGAAAATCCTTTTCCTCATCATAGGAGAGCTGCTGCATAGCACGAATTGCTAGGAATGCAGCAGGCTTAGTGCCATAAGTGACGGTGTCCAGGGTGTATATTTTAATTTCTTCGCTTGGACTATCACGCCAGAGGATGCATTGGAGCAGATTATCAGGTTCGGAGACACGCACACAGCGATACATTTTGCAGATGTCACCGCATAGTGCCACTTTAAAGAATCTAAACCGAACCAAAGTGCTGAAGATTTTAGGCTGAATGGAGGGACCAGCAAAGAGCAACTCGTTTAAAGAGTATCCAGACGAAGACATGGCAGAACCATCGAAGACTACCCTGAGCTTGGTAGTCGAGCTGTCCAATTTGTGAACGCAGTGGTGGGGCAAATAATATTGCGGCAAAGCTGACTGCTTGCAAGAGAGCGACATATGGCCTAAATCGATATACTCCTTTATAAAGGCAATATATTCAGCCTTGAGATTAGGATTTCTAGCCAATTTGGATTCCAATGATTTGAATCGCTGCGAAGCACGATGGTATGAATCTCCTAGCATATCGAGACTAGTCTTTGCGGGCAATCGAACTGAATATTGGCCTGACTCAAGCCGAGAATAAGATTGAGCAAATAAATTCTCGCACAAGGCATCCTCATCAGTTGGAGCAGATGACGATCCACAATAGCTGTCAATTTCCCAAAACCGTTTGACAAGGTCCGGCAACGATTCAGGTTCCAATTGTACATCGTGCTCAACTGACAATGCGGGAAGAGAAGAGTGTTTATGGGCCGGCGAAGATATGCCACCGGATACTACCCAACCCAATCTAGTTTATGCAAGGAGGGAAGGTGATCGGCCAGCCGTATCTGCCCAACGCAAAGCAGGTCGAAGAAGATTCCAGCTCCTATAAGAATGTCAATCCTTTGACTTTTATGAAAGAGCGGATCGGCGAGGAATAAATTGCTGGGGATGTTCCATTCTGAAGAGTTTAGGTCGAAATGCGGCTGATAATTTGTGATGGTGCTAGTCATTATTGCAGCGAATGATGTTCGGTAACCTTTGTTGCGAGATTGTACAATAATATCTACCGCCTTATCAGCCATGAGTGAAGACTCTCCTATACCTGAGATGCATGTATTTGAGCGACGAGTTGACAGTTGCAATTGATGAGCGAGTCGAGAAGTAATGAAATTAATTTGCGATGCAGAGTCGAGCAAGGCTCTGCAGGGCACCATTATGCCGGAACGATTTCGGACATATATGATGGCAGTGGCAAGAAGCACATAATCAGATTGATGATCTACCGAGGCTTTAGGTGGGGGTGAATTTGGCGAAGCAGAAATGAGCGAGGCACTATTTTGAGGAGCAGAAGTGGATGTGGGCTGCGAGGGTGATGAAGCATGATTTGACTCCAAATGTAGAAATGTATGATGCTTAGAGCGACAATGCCTGCAGTTCCCAGCCTTGCACTGCTGCAGGCTGTGGCCTTTACGCAGGCAATTTAGGCAAAGATGTAGCCTTTTTGCTTCTTTGTAGCGTAATGTGGGACTCAAGGCAATAAATTGTGGACATTTCGAAATAAAGTGATCCTTAGAATCACACAAAATACATAATGAGGTGTAGGATGATGCGGTGCAAGCGTTTTGGACATTTTATTTATAGTTTTTCCCACCTGGTTGCTAGGTGTGTGGGTTACCATAGCATTTTCAATGTTTTCCATCATCCGACATCTCTTCTCCAAAAAGGCAGCCATATCCGTCCATTTTAGCAGCTTATTGGTAGGCAATCCCTCTTCCCACTTCTCCTGGGTATGCTGATCCAGTTTGGAGGACACCAGGGATATGAGCATTCCATCCGCAATCTCCTGGGTGGTTGCCATTGTGTTAAGGGCTCGCAGATGAGAGTTGATGCCGTCGCTCAATTGCCGCAAACTCCTTGCCGACCCTTTCACCACACTAGAAAGCCTGAAAATAGATCGTATGTGCCCCTGAAAATGCAAAAGTTTGTTATCAAACCTAGCAGTCAATAGGTCGACTGCCTTCTCATAATTGGCCTCTGTTGGCTCCAGCGAGCGAATTGTGTCTAATGCGGGGCCATCCAAACAGGAGCGTAGATGCTGGAATTTTTCCAAATTGGTCAGGTCCTCGTTGTTGCCGATGACTGTAGTGTACATAGCGTAGAAATCTGGCCAGTCCATATAAGCGCCTCCAAATCGTGGCAGCTTAAACTCAGGTAGCCTAGTGGCCCGAACACCAGCCCTGGAGGTTGAAGCCTGCTCGATGTTGAAATTTGGGAATGCAGTCGAATTTATCACCGCACAATAAATGTTTAGAAATTTTGCACGCACATCACTAGCCAGCTCTAGTAGATTGAGCCTTTCGACAGCTGTTTGAGACTTATCAAAATTATCTCGCATTTTTTCAATAAGCTCAAGCCTGACTTGAAGGTCGGCCTCGTCAAAATGAGACGCCTCTTCTGAACCGAAAAAGTCATTTAAAGCCACTAGCTGTCGAAAAACCGAGTCCGCTTTGGCTTTATAAAAGTCAAAATCACTATTGGCCTCGGATGGGCACGCAGTTACCGAATCATTCTCTGCCATTTTATTTTCAAAAAGAGTATTCAAATGTCACCTTGGGTTGCGACCGATGCAGCTGTACCAAACGCAGAGAATAGAGAACGAAAGAATAGCGGAGCCAAGCTTGGCGTTCACTGACCGCGAGCTAACGGTTCTATCGGACCACCAAAACCAACAGCACAAACACAATTTGCACGAAAAGTATATAAAAGGGCTGCAACTATATGCTAGTGCACAAATATATAAAGAGATGCTATGTACTCGAATGTACCGATAAAGTTCAATAGCGATGCAACGATATGCAATTGTATTGTGTGAGCATACGAACTATATATAAGGACTTTTCACCTTTTATTTTAACGAAAACGATTTTTTACGCGATCACGTCGGGGTCACCAAATGTTTTGAGGAGGGCATTAATTTATGCCACCTATTAAGCGAATTGATTTAGCGAGGGGTTTGTTTTGTGTTGGCGTAAAATTAGTTATGTTTTAATTTGTGTGTGCTTGTGTGTGGTTTGGTTACAAAGTTTTTGTGTGTTTTTAGTTTCAACGTAAGTGAGCGAATGAATCGAGAGAATAGATAAACCAAACAGAAGAGCTGCGGCGGAAGAGCTTTCATGCCGGCTTATGAGGTGGAAAGCTTCTGCCGCAGCTGATCGCTTGTTTACAAATAATGATTTAAAACATTTAATATTAAATCTGCTGCTTCTGCTCCCGACACAGATATTATTTAATGATTTTTTGTATCTATGTTTTTTTTTGTATATTTTGGGTTTTTTTTCTTTTTTTTGATATATTTTTTTAATTTTTTGTTTTTTTTTTCAATTATTGAGGTCATAACCCTAAAAGAAAATACATTTATTTTGTTAGCTTCTCTGTAAACAATATTTGATGTTGTTTTATTTTGTGGCAGCAAAATAAATTGATTTTCAGGGGCTCGGACTCGCGGTAGACCAACATACAGTTGACCATGAGTAAAATATTTCTTTCGCAGGTCGATCCCTACTAATTCGAAGGTTTGGCCTTGGGACTTGTTAATTGTTAATGCGATAGATGTTTTTACCGGAAATTGAAGCCGTTTAAATGGGCAATTGGCAGATCAGTTGGGATCATCGGTATCCTCAGTATATGAGCTAGTTTTATATATGTAAATGGGTTTAGTTCTGAAAAGAACTTTTTAAAGCGGTTTAGTTACTTACTAAACGAATTATTATCAAGCGTAAATTCCGCACACGTCCATCACGTAGGGAGCCGACCGCGCGAGTGAGCCGTGCGGCAAGTTTATTTCGTGATCTTAACCCCCTTCCCGTACCCCTGCCCGCGTGACGTCTATAACGCATAGCTAGCCGAATACAGTTTATTTTTTAATTTTTTTTTGAACTCGTGATATCTTTTGAATGGATTGTCAGAATCGAATAATTCAAAAAGTAATATAAAGATATTGAAGCAGTCTTAAATAATACATCATTAATTTTGATAAGGGTTAATACCAAGGTACAAATAAAGAGCTTTTTGTAGCGGTGGTATTTTAATTTCTTTTTTCAATAAAAACAAGAAAGAAAGCTAACTTCGGCACGCCGAAGTTTATATACCCTTGCAGATAGAACTTCTATGAATAGGAATCCATACAATATAAATTATATATATTTGTGTTAAAAAACAATGAAGTAATAGCTGCTTTCATTTCATTCACCTATACATATTATATTTGCAGTTTTACATACACAGATTTGCATTTTTCCTCTAAATCGATCGTTTGTATGACACCTATATGATATAGTCGTCCGATTTTCATGAAATTTGACACAATATTTAAAACTTATATATAAAATGGCTATACCTCAAATTTAATGAAAATCAGCTGAAAACTGAAAAAGTTATAAATTTAATTGTATTAATTTCTCGATCGTTCCTATGGGAGCTATATGATATAGTAGTCCGATTTTCATAAAATTTTACACAAAATTGTAGAGTATAGTAAGAGTGGTGGGGCAAATAATATTGCGGCAAAGCTGACTGCTTGCAAGAGAGCGACATATGGCCTAAATCGATATACTCCTTTATAAAGGCAATATATTCAGCCTTGAGATTAGGATTTCTAGCCAATTTGGATTCCAATGATTTGAATCGCTGCGAAGCACGATGGTATGAATCTCCTAGCATATCGAGACTAGTCTTTGCGGGCAATCGAACTGAATATTGGCCTGACTCAAGCCGAGAATAAGATTGAGCAAATAAATTCTCGCACAAGGCATCCTCATCAGTTGGAGCAGATGACGATCCACAATAGCTGTCAATTTCCCAAAACCGTTTGACAAGGTCCGGCAACGATTCAGGTTCCAATTGTACATCGTGCTCAACTGACAATGCGGGAAGAGAAGAGTGTTTATGGGCCGGCGAAGATATGCCACCGGATACTACCCAACCCAATCTAGTTTTTTGCAAGGAGGGAAGGTGATCGGCCAGCCGTATCTGCCCAACGCAAAGCAGGTCGAAGAAGATTCCAGCTCCAATAAGAATGTCAATCCTTTGACTTTTATGAAAGAGCGGATCGGCGAGGAATAAATTGCTGGGGATGTTCCATTCTGAAGAGTTTAGGTCGAAATGCGGCTGATAATTTGTGATGGTGCTAGTCATTATTGCAGCGAATGATGTTCGGTAACCTTTGTTGCGAGATTGTACAATAATATCTACCGCCTTATCAGCCATGAGTGAAGACTCTCCTATACCTGAGATGCATGTATTTGAGCGACGAGTTGACAGTTGCAATTGATGAGCGAGTCGAGAAGTAATGAAATTAATTTGCGATGCAGAGTCGAGCAAGGCTCTGCAGGGCACCATTATGCCGGAACGATTTCGGACATATATGATGGCAGTGGCAAGAAGCACATAATCAGATTGATGATCTACCGAGGCTTTAGGTGGGGGTGAATTTGGCGAAGCAGAAATGAGCGAGGCACTATTTTGAGGAGCAGAAGTGGATGTGGGCTGCGAGGGTGATGAAGCATGATTTGACTCCAAATGTAGCAATGTATGATGCTTAGAGCGACAATGCCTGCAGTTCCCAGCCTTGCACTGCTGCAGGCTGTGGCCTTTACGCAGGCAATTTAGGCAAAGATGTAGCCTTTTTGCTTCTTTGTAGCGTAATGTGGGACTCAAGGCAATAAATTGTGGACATTTCGAAATAAAGTGATCCTTAGAATCACACAAAATACATAATGAGGTGTAGGATGATGCGGTGCAAGCGTTTTGGACATTTTTATTTATAGTTTTTCCCACCTGGTTGCTAGGTGTGTGGGTTACCATAGCATTTTCAATGTTTTCCATCATCCGACATCTCTTCTCCAAAAAGGCAGCCATATCCGTCCATTTTAGCAGCTTATTGGTAGGCAATCCCTCTTCCCACTTCTCCTGGGTATGCTGATCCAGTTTGGAGGACACCAGGGATATGAGCATTCCATCCGCAATCTCCTGGGTGGTTGCCATTGTGTTAAGGGCTCGCAGATGAGAGTTGATGCCGTCGCTCAATTGCCGCAAACTCCTTGCCGACCCTTTCACCACACTAGAAAGCCTGAAAATAGATCGTATGTGCCCCTGAAAATGCAAAAGTTTGTTATCAAACCTAGCAGTCAATAGGTCGACTGCCTTCTCATAATTGGCCTCTGTTGGCTCCAGCGAGCGAATTGTGTCTAATGCGGGGCCATCCAAACAGGAGCGTAGATGCTGGAATTTTTCCAAATTGGTCAGGTCCTCGTTGTTGCCGATGACTGTAGTGTACATAGCGTAGAAATCTGGCCAGTCCATATAAGCGCCTCCAAATCGTGGCAGCTTAAACTCAGGTAGCCTAGTGGCCCGAACACCAGCCCTGGAGGTTGAAGCCTGCTCGATGTTGAAATTTGGGAATGCAGTCGAATTTATCACTGACACTCGGCGGAGTTTGCTAGTTCGCGAGAGATTTTGGATTTCACCGCACAATAAATGTTTAGAAATTTTGCACGCACATCACTAGCCAGCTCTAGTAGATTGAGCCTTTCGACAGCTGTTTGAGACTTATCAAAATTATCTCGCATTTTTTCAATAAGCTCAAGCCTGACTTGAAGGTCGGCCTCGTCAAAATGAGACGCCTCTTCTGAACCGAAAAAGTCATTTAAAGCCACTAGCTGTCGAAAAACCGAGTCCGCTTTGGCTTTATAAAAGTCAAAATCACTATTGGCCTCGGATGGGCACGCAGTTACCGAATCATTCTCTGCCATTTTATTTTCAAAAGAGTATTCAAATGTCACCTTGGGTTTGCGACCGATGCAGCTGTACCAAACGCAGAGAATAGAGAACGAAAGAATAGCGGAGCCAAGCTTGGCGTTCACTGACCGCGAGCTAACGGTTCTATCGGACCACCAAAACCAACAGCACAAACACAATTTGCACGAAAAGTATATAAAAGGGCTGCAACTATATGCTAGTGCACAAATATATAAAGAGATGCTATGTACTCGAATGTACCGATAAAGTTCAATAGCGATGCAACGATATGCAATTGTATTGTGTGAGCATACGAACTATATATAAGCACTTTTCACCTTTTATTTTAACGAAAACGATTTTTTACGCGATCACGTCGGGGTCACCAAATGTTTTGAGGAGGGCATTAATTTATGCCACCTATTAAGCGAATTGATTTAGCGAGGGGTTTGTTTTGTGTTGGCGTAAAATTAGTTATGTTTTAATTTGTGTGTGCTTGTGTGTGGTTTGGTTACAAAGTTTTGTGTGTTTTTAGTTTCAACGTAAGTGAGCGAATGAATCGAGAGAATAGATAAACCAAACAGAAGAGCTGCGGCGGAAGAGCTTTCATGCCGGCTTATGAGGTGGAAAGCTTCTGCCGCAGCTGATCGCTTGTTTACAAATAATGATTTAAAACATTTAATATTAAATCTGCTGCTTCTGCTCCCGACACAGATATTATTTAATGATTTTTTTGTAT